AAGATAATCTCTATTGAGCAAAAAATATATAATTTTTTATTTTTAGTAACAATATTTAATCAATATAAGTTTGAGGGATAAAATAGATAATTTTAATATATTTAAATTTTTTATGTCTAATTAAAGGTAACCGTTTTTAGAATGAATGTTGTAAGGTGTTAATACTTTCCTTACACATAATCGACTCTCGAACCCAATTGTTATTTCGTAGACCACTGTTTTTTTCATTTTGAAGGTTTTTCCGATATTTTTCCTTAAAATAAATATTGGTGGCGACTCCATTGTTTTTCTTTTATTTAGAAGCATAATTTAGTCGTCCAGTTGCGCTTTTGATTGCGACAATATGGAATATATTTTTTGGTGTTTCAAACCATGCATTAAAGGATTCAACTATTGCAAGTTGATTATTCGAGTTAACGACACATTCCTAACATGTAAATATCGTGTAACTTTGTTGATCACAATAATGGGAGTCAAATATATCTTTCCTTTAGCTAGTATTTGCAATAATTGAATGAGAGACAAATGATACTTTGATATGATTTTTCAACTTTTGAGAAGATATGTAACATCTTAGTTGAACTTATGTTTGATAACAAATAAAGGAACAACAATGTTGTTTGCCTTATCATCTAAAGGTGTTGGTTGGGATATAACCGATCTTCAATTAGTGTGCTACATTTGGCATATTATCTATAACTTTATTACTAACGAATTCACAAATATATCCAAAGAATGGTTAGAGAAAGATGTTGGAGTTTGAGACAAGACTCGATCATTGAGATGGTAAGGTACTACTTCGAAATGATGAAGATTGAAGAAGGTTTAGAGAAAAAAGGGGTTAAAAAAAATCGAAGGGTTAATCAAATGGTTTTGATAAAATAAATTTATGAATTCATAATAGTTGAAGAGACAATAAATTAAAGAACCGAAAAATACATATTATCAAAAGGTAAAATCGAGACCAAGAAATAGGTGTTAATCAAAGGCTTAGGATTGAAGACATAAGAGTGTCGAGTAAAGGGTTATGCAATCGAGAAAAACAAAATATCAAGAAATGGTTATGCAAACAAAAAGGACAAAGGATTAAGAAGGAGTTTTGTAAATTGAGAGATACATGGAAGCAGTTATAACTTCATTACATTACATGAATGTTGCAAGTGTCACATGGCAAAGATAAGACTCAAGAAAATAGAAGATTGGTTATAGAGAAAGTAATTGTGTTTATTTTATTTTATTGTATTGTTCCTAGCAGTGACACGAAGTAGAATATAAATAAAATGAAATAAGTATAATAGTGGTGATTGTCAAATTGTCCGAAGACTTACATCTGAAGAATGCTAAGAACACAGGATAAACACTTTTAATGAAATTCTTTGTAATTTAGATCACCATTATCGTTGATTTTCTTTACAAATTTCTATTTTATCCTTGGTAATGAGTTAGATTTATCTTTCTATAATTTACTTTCCTCGCACATTTAATTTCCTACGATTTATTTTTCTTATACTTTTATCTTTCTTGCACTTTACCTTAAATGTTACAACTTATATTAAAAGTTCAAGTTCTATACAAAAGATCAATAATATAGATTCAAATTATATTGATTATTGAGTGATTAGTAGATGATCAAGTAATCTAATTCTCTGAATTGAAAAAGTGTTCACACTTACTAATCAAATTTAAAAGAATCTACGTAATGATTGAAGTGATTCATCACGAAACACTTGAACAAAAGAATAGAAAATAATTAATCAAATAGCGGACCATTTTACACTAAAAACAAACTTTAACTAAAAATTCAAGATCACTAAATTGAAAGAACAAGTTATTAGCATGGATAATATACTTTAATATTACTACTATATTTTCACCTTTAATTACATTTGGTAATTATATTTGCTAACTTATAAATTTTTACTATTACATAGTATATGAGATGAAACAATCTAAACTAATAGCTAAATTGAATGTTATGAGGTTTGAGTTTCGTCAAACCATTTATTGATTATATGAGATTTCTTTGAAAAAGTGAACTTGGACATATTAGGAGGGCAAAAGGTATAAACACACGACAATTAATCTTATTGAGTGCATGAAATAAGTTTTAAAAGGAATATATATCTTACCCATATGTACTCTCATGAAAACTACATTTAAAAGAACTAATCATGATTTATTAAAGGAGACACCAAAACATAATACATGTTACGAGGAACACATGCCTAAGTAAGATTGTTATTTAATAAGAGAAAACATATGACATGCAGAAATTGTAATGTTAAAAATTATAAAAAAATTATGAGTTTGATGTCTAATAAATATCAAATCCCTAATGTGGGAGATGCTTGATAAGCTATACAATAAATAATATTTACAATAAGATGGATGAACATATTCTAAATAAACTAAAAATATTTATTTTATCTTAATAAAATTCATTATCATTATAATTAATTTATATTGACAATGAAAATTTTCATTTTCTTATAATATATTAATATTTTCTTCTTCATCATTTATATATTTTTTACCAATTTAATCTATTAAAAATATTTAATATTATTAATATCTAAATATCTAATAACTATTTATTTTATTAATTGTAAACATTAAAATAAAACTTTTAATAATAATAAAAAAACAATCCTAAAAAAATTAAAATTATACACGTATAAGGGAAAATTATGTTATGAAAGACAATTTTTTCATAATAAAAGTCATATTTCAAAATTTCAAAATATAACTTACTCCTATTATAATGATTTGTTAAAAATCTACCGAATCGGCCCTATTTGTTTCTTATAACTTACGCGTCTTTTTTTGCTAGTGGAAGACACGTGTAAGCCACTGCGTCCTATTTTCATTTTCATAATAAGCAAACAAAAAGTAATGCAAAATTCCACCATAACACCACATTCTCGTTAACACAATCTTTCACCAAAATAATTGAAAGCACTACAAAATATAATTAAGATGGTAAAACACTGTGATATCTTTCATTAAGATTTGTAAAAAAAATACGTAAATTTGTATAAAAATATTGTATCAAATTTTGATTCTTACGCTACCACCTAAATTATAATAATATTTTTTACTGTAAGAGACGTGTGTGCACGATGTACGAGTTTTGAGGAAACAAAAAGTGGAGAGAGCCATCTCCATCGTCAACTCAATGTAATAAATAAAGAAGTTTGGTGTTATATTCCAAATTATCTTCAATATTTTCATAATATTTTAACCAAACAACTGAAACATAATTTATTTGTCCCATCGTTTGTTAAAATTTGAAATTATACAATATTTAATTTCTTGTTCTTATACTTTATATCTAGTTTATCTAATTTTTATTTATACTTTAAAAAAATTGTTTTTAAGGAGAAAATTCTCAGATGAAGACACACTTATTCTCTTATGCGATTTGTTTCCTTTATCCAAAAAAAGATGAAAAATCTTACCCGAAAAGAAATTACAAGGAAATCTTGCGTTATAGAACCGGTTTTTTTATAAAATTAAATTAGTATCTTATATTTTTAAGATTCGAGATCAGAAGATATAATAAAAAATCATACTTAATAAAAAATATAATAAAATCATTCATCAATTACCTATGCAATAATATTTTAATTTAAAAAAAAAAGATAAAATGAAAACCTAATAATATAAATATATTACTCTATTCTGTTTTTGTTTGTTTCTTACGTAATGAAAAAAGTCTAAAACGTTTGTTGGTCGGACCCGCAGAGATGGCAAATGATTCTACACCATTCAAACTCGTTTTTCTTTCCTAATTTCATCTTTCTCGTGAACCCCTTTAAATGTCAACTAATTCTACACCCAATCTATGCATCATAAACTTATAAATTTAACCTAATCGATATAAAATCCATAAATCTTTAATATTATAAACTAAAGTGAAGCATTCAAGTTTTTAAAAGAAATTCATCATAATTCTAAAAAATTATTTGATGAGGTATATATATATATATATATATATATATATATATATATATATATATATATATATATATATATATCTTTGTCTTTGTAAATAGGACAATGTCCATTTTTATTATTAAAATAATTATTTCTTATTAAAAAAATGCATATATATATATATATATATATATATATATATATATATATATATATATATATATATAACATATTTCCATGAACTCATTTAATAACACTCCTTCCCTTCTAAATTATGTCACATTAATATAAATCTTAATTTTATAACTATTTTTGTATTTATTTCCAAGTGGTTATACACTAATTAAACTTAATTATGTTTAGAAATATTGTTAGAAAAATAGTTTAAAGAGAGTAAAAAATAGTTTAAAGAGATTAAAAAATAAAAAATGGAGGAAACGTTCATGTCCTCCTATAATGATTTAGTTAGGCCGTAGAACTACTAATGGACTAATGGCGTGTCTAAAATGGCAATGCAATTCTGGAATCTTGAACATCATTACTGTTAAAGCCGAACAGATCAATTCTTAAATTTATATAAAAAAATTCTGAAAACTCCTCCACCATTCCCTCCCATTATATTATTATATTAGAAAAATGACAAACCAAACAAAAGCAGAAAAAAAAAAAAAAAGAGGAAAAAAGTGGGTCACTTTAGCAACAAAACCTTCTCGTCCCATCCCTTGATCAATGGTGTTCCTCTTGCTGGGTGGAGCTTTACGCAATCCCATTACACCCTCTTTCTTTCCATTTTCTTCTATTCTCTGTTAATTCTTTCCTTCTTCTTTTTTTTTCATTGCATTCCCTAATCACTTCCCATTCATCCCCGGTTTCTCTGTCACTGTCTCGTAACACTCTTTGAACCACCGCAACCAAAATAACAACCCCATGTCCTCAACCCGACTTTTCTTCTTGCCAAAGCTTCCAAGTTTCGATTTTTCAGAAAAATATTAGCACCTCAGTAAATATAATAGAAAAATATAACAAATCCTCTTCTGGGTTAATCTAGTAACTTTATTTTTTTCATGGGTAACATAGGAAGTAGCGGCACCAACAGCCGCCGGAGACACGGTGGAGGCGGCAGCGGGAGGCGGATTCACCCGCCGCCTCCTCCTCCGCCGGTGATGCATCCACCCGAAGTCACGGCGAATCAATTCGTGTACCCTCCCGCCGCGACTCCGTATCACAACTATCCCGGGTACTACCCGCCGCCGACCACCATGCCGGCGCCGTTGCCGGCTCCTTATGACCATCACCACCGTCAGGCGGTGGACCCGATGTGGGGGAGGTACCCGGCCGTGCCGGCACCGGCGCCGTATGTGGAGCACCAGAAGGCTGTTACTATAAAAAACGATGTTAACATCAAGAAGGAGACGCTTAGGATTGAGCCTGATGACGAAAATCCTGGCCGTTTCCTCGTGACGTTTACGTTTGATGCCACCGTTTCCGGGAGGTAACGCCGTTTTCCCTTTCATTGAATGATTGTGGTGTAATTAGGGGATTGTGTTTTGTGGTTATTTAATTAGTGTGTGGGGTATGTGAATGGTGATTGTGTGTCAGATGCAAGGTTCTGGAGAGGTTGTTGTTGTGATGCTGTGCTTGCTTTTTTTTCTTGATGGGGTGTTAATAAGCTTGTTGCTGAGTGCATGCAGGGTTTAATTGCTTTTCTCAATTTTCTTATTTGGATTCTGATAGTAAAGGGGCGGAGCATGCTATTCTAGCTAGCTTAGAACGGTGTTAAAGGGGTGCATGGCTTAAGGGTGTGCAAAGCTGCAGATAAATAATTGTGCGCAGATGAGAATTATGGGTATTAGCAGATGTATATGCGAAATAAGTTCATACTTTGGAGTTTAGATGGCTCATTGGCTGTACCGGTGGCAGAGTAACTATAGGTTTTGTTCTGTGTGTATTTTGTGAATCACTGAATAAGCATATCGATGTGTTGCTACGGTTAAATTTCCTTAACAATCTGGGGATCCTGATTGAAAGAAAATTCAGTTGCTACTAAAGATTTCCAGCTTGTCAGATTATCTTCATTTGCCATTTGATAATCAAGATGATTTTTTCCCCATTTGATATATTCTGGATTTTGATCTGGTCACACACTAGATAGTATGCCACCTGCATTATTTGGGAATGTCTATTGAGGTTTTCAAGAATGCCTTTTTTATCGTATTCCTTTTCTAGAGAAGTGGAAGAAATTGCTTATTCTATTTTGCTGGGGTCTTGTTACCTTTTAGCAAGCGAAAGTGATGTTTCTCAATACACATTAATGGTAAAGGAGGTAGTTCGCTCAGTACACATCAGTCTGAAAGCTGATGTTATTTGTTCCTGAACAAAGCCTTATAGATCATTTTTAGTTTCCTGATGTACTTGTGCTAATAGCTGTTATTGCTTTCCATATGTGTCAGTTTAACTGTAGTTTTATTTACAGTAACTGGTTGGCTATGAATAGAAGAAAGTGGTAACTCTATAATAGTTTGACAGTTTACTGTATTATCACTAGTTATTCTCCTTCTGTGCATGATCCTCTCATATAGGAAAGTCAAGGTCTTTTTAAGTAGAACTAATCTATTTTATCTTGATTATTAGATAACCAACCTTATATTTGGGAAAGAGGGTAGTTTAGGTGCTATTTCCGTCTATCATTGTCAAGCTAGTATCAATTAAAAAAATGAAAAATATATCTATAGCAAGATACAAAACGATACATAATACATGGATATTTCCGTCTATCATTGTCTATCATTGTCAAGCTAGTATCAATTAAAAAAATGAAAAATATATCTATAGCAAGATACATGGATATTACACCTACTCTTTTACTACCAAGGGTCTGAATGGTTGGTTCAATGCATGTTTTACTAGTGCAAATTGCAATTGTGCCAAACATACTTAACAAAATTATTTTTTTAGCAATTTTGAAGGCAATAAATTATCAGTTTTATAAGTACTTGTTGCTTACCCTTATTATGTATCGTTTTGTAAGCAATACCAGTACATGACATGTGATTGACTCTGTGTAGTCAAGGTGGACCTAGCCGCAAGGAAAATGGTCAATGCCTGCTTTGGAGTTTTGGAGTGCCGTTTTAAATGTAAAATAATCTTTGAAATACCACAATGATGCTAAGCCGTATAATTTAGTCAGAATGTTAAAGAATAACTGGTTGTTGAACTTTTGGACTCTTAGCAGCAAACAGCTTAAGGATTTGGATATTGAGTGATAATCTTTTACTTTTACTGAAATTAATGCTTAAGTAGCTTATTCATTCGGAGAAACAATGCAAAATAGTCCATATTTTACTATTTTCTTTCCAATATTAATGTCTTTGGTAAGTCAGACGTGTGCTTTTTGGTGTTTCTTGCCTCTAAGGCATTAAATCAAAGGTGCCTCTCACCTTCAAGTGCCTTGGGTTGACTTAATGTACATGCAATTCAATTATGCATTTAATAGTTAATGTTGTTTAAGATTAAATTATCATTTGTATATGTGTGTGTGTGTGTGTGTCAGTTGAATATGAATATTTGTAGGATAGTTCTTTTATTTGTTTGATCTAAATGTTTTGTTTCCTTTTATCTGTATAACAGCATTACCATACTTTTCTTTGCAAAAGAAGGGGAAGGTTGCACCCTAACCCCGATGAAGGAAAATGTTCTTCTACCGGTGACTGTAAATTTCCAGCAAGGTCTTGGCCAGAAGTTTAAACAGCCAGCTGGAACTGGTATTGATTTTTCTATATTTGAGGAGTCGGAGTTATTGAATGTGGGGGACATGGATGTGTATCCTGTAGCAATTAGAGCAGATGCATCATCCTCTGGCGACCATGATGAATTGAAATCAAATGAAACGCCATCATCTGGTAACACAAACTCCCAGATTACTCAAGCAGTGTTTGAGAAGGAGAAAGGAGAGTTCCAGGTGAAGGTTGTTAAGCAGATCTTATGGGTAAATGAAATGAGGTATGAACTGCAGGAGATATATGGTATTGGAAATTCAGTGGAGAGTGACTTGGACGGGAATGACCCAGGAAAAGAGTGTGTTATATGTTTGTCAGAGCCTCGAGACACGACCGTCCTTCCATGTCGCCACATGGTATTTGTTGTTTTCCCTTTTTCTTAAAATTTATTTTTAATTGGTTGACTGAATGATCCTCCGATGGTAACCATTAACACCGTGAGTATTAATGTACCAGAAGGTGATTAATTATATATGCTGGCTTTCATTGATGATCAGATTCTTTTGTCATTATATTTCATTTCATGTGTAGTTTTTGAAGAAAGATAGCTTAGTTTTGTCAGCTTTATGTAAAAACTACTATAAAATAAATGATTAAAAACTAATGTACTTTGGTGTCAAAATGCATGCAAAGGATAGAGAAGGGTGCTGTATGCAGTCTTATCCTTGCATATGCAAGGAGGTTGTTTCCACATTCGTATCCATGGCCAATTTGGTCACCAACATAAATCATTATTTCCTCAAAAATAATTTATCTAAACATGTTACTCTGTCACTAATAAGTTATCATTATTATTTTTACTCGACTTCAACTGTTGATTGGTTTAGGATTTGTTTCCTTCTTCTAGTGTATGTGTAGCGGATGTGCTAAGGTTTTGAGGTTCCAAACAAATAGATGTCCAATCTGCAGACAACCAGTTGAGAGGCTTTTGGAGATCAAAGTGGGGCCTGAGCCTGAGGAGTGAAGATACAATGTTATTGCACAAGCTTCCTGTACTGTCCAAATGTTATAGTCAATAGTTTCACTTATTTTATCAGGTTTTTCCAATAATCCCAAAAAGAAAAAAAAATAGAAATTGGAATTAATGCATCATATTATGTTTGACATGTACTACAGGCTGGCATTGCTCCTGACTTGTATTATTATATAAGACAATGCCTCCACCATGCATGTTTGGTTTTGCTTTTAATTCTAAGTGGTTTTATCTCCGGAACATAATCTTCACTTTGTATGACATCCTTTTTTTTTTCTGGTCAAATTGCTCATAACTCCATCCAACGATAGTCCAAGTTGGAGAAAATTTCTTAAAAGTAAACAATAACATATCAAACTTGACATCCTTAATTTATCAATTAGTGTCAATCTAATCTTTTGTACACGTTAAAAAACCCGTTCTAAGGATAAGGAACCAAATATGTATGATGTGATAAGATCAAGCAGTTGAATTGCTGTATTTTGAATACTTCTTTTGTGCAATTGACCATTTGGCCAGTAGTTAAAATATAGGTTTATGTTAGTTAATTACGTTTTCCACAAGGACAAGAGGAAATATAGGTTTATGTTGCGTTGCGTATGTATCTAGACAAACCTCTGTTTTGCTTCCTGGTGGGACTTTTCTAGTTTCGGCCGAAGGTTTTCTGAACCACTTTTAATCAATACCCTGGTTAGGAAAATGATCATTGAATAGCTTTTATCCTCAACCCACCATCTACCTCGACTACTTTTATGCAGAGTACTGAATAGCACGCCTGGATGCCAATTTTTTAAGGTCTCTAAAGGATTGATAAAGATAATAAGCCTGCACATGTTTCCTTAACAATTGGTAAGCACCCCATAAATTACTTCGCATGCGTTGCTTTTTTGTCCTGAACCCCAATAATTGATCCTCAAAGACACAGGAATGAGAGGTCCACTATTCCCAAATGCAAATTACTCTACCATGTACGAGCCGACAATAGGCATATGCACATCACATGTTAATGAATAATTTTACATGTTTCTGTAACTTTTTCTTACTGATGTTGCTCGTTTAAAATAGAAAATTGTACTTTTAAAAAAATATTTCGAGCAAATCTGAAAGAGAATATAATAATACTCTGTTACATTACCGATCAGCTGTAACACCGAAAGCCAAGCAGAAACACAGATTTGCAAATTACGAGGATGTTGACAACCTCTGATGAGTCAAGTATGCAGCGGTTCAATTAAAGTTCCATCATTGGAGTTGGTTCCTTCACCTTGAAATTCGTAGTTGTAGTTTTGGTCCATACAAATTAACTTGTCATCAATCCTTTAGACTTATTAAAAAAAAACCAAGCAGCACACTTTTTTATTTGCAGGGAGGATGATAAAGGAAGCTTATTTGTAAAGCATGAGGATGTTCATAGCGTTAACATTTAACATTAGCATCCTATTTCCTTGATAGACAACAAACACAACACCACTATAAAGTTGTTCTGTCTGTAATACAAGACATCAAACACACAACATAGCAGATACAAATTTTCACTCGACAATCACTGTACATATGACATTTGAGGCACTTGATGCAATTTGGCATCCCACCATTGATGAACATAGACACCATTGCTTCTAAGACCCCTGTAAATATACATGCAGCGTTCCCTGCTGCTCATAATTTCCCCTTCATCATCCCCACTTTCTGAGCAGCTAAGAAACAACTCATCAACAAAGCATATAGCTCCGCTCTCAAATATATCCCCGAGGAACTTCATTTCAACATCCCCAGCATTCATCTTCAGAACCACAAAATCAGCAAACTGAACTGTTTCTTTAAACCACACAAGAAAATCAAACTCTTCCTCTCCCAAAAACGGATCCATATCTCCATTGTGGGCATCCTTCCCAGCCAACCCCGGATGATAAACAAAGGTGACACGAGGCTGTTTCACATAGGACAACAAAACGGAAGCATTGTAATGAACAAAATACACACTGAAAGCATTAAGATCAATGGGATAAGACGGTGGGAACCAATCAATGACATCGACATTTGCATTCACCAACTGCTTCACCCCAATATCAATGTACACCATCCTCTTCCTACTTGAAACATCCACCAATTTTGGCAAATAGGAGACACGTTTGTCATACTTGACATCTTGTCTCACTCTTTCCTCCACAAGAGGCTCCATCAACTCCACCAAAGGCTTGGTGAATGCAACACTTGCACAATCTTCTGGAAGTACATGGTTATAAAAAAGGGAGTTTATGCTTGTGTTAGTGTTTTCAGATCTTTTCTTGAAAACCACAAGGCTGAGTTTGTTAACATGAACCACATGCACCACACTCGAAGATCTCATGAATGAAGACACCGAGGATGAAGAAGAGGAACCAACAAGCAAGACCCCAATCCCGCCAGGCTTAAGAATGCGCTCAACTTCAAGAACCAGCAATGCAGGGACAGAAACCATGTCCACATCCTTGGAGACCACGAAGTCAAAAGAAGAGTCGTTGTACTCAAAGTGGGACGCGATATTCTTACTGTTGAGGGAGAAAAAGGCGTGCTTGTTGAGACCAACGACGCTGGAGAAACCCAAACGCTGCATTGCCGAGGCAATCATGTGAGACCCATGTCCAATGCAGAGAGTTTTGGCGCCATAGTTCAGGAGTCGTTTGCCCTTTAGAATGCCGATGAGAATGGAAGTTAAAGTGCTGTCATTTTTACAGTTCATGGAGTCAAAGGAACCCCAAAAGGTGTTGAGGATGCGGCTCTGGAACAAGTAGGAACCAGCGGTCAAAGTGGCATTTTCGGAAAGCGAATCCGAGTCATCAACGCAGTCAACATAGGTCTTGGGAGTCAACGATGCCAAATCAAGGGTGGGTAGGAAGCGAATGAAGGAGACAAGCGAAACAGCAGAGGCGAGAAACAACGCACGGAAGAAGATGTGCCTGGCTAAGGAGCCGGTGAGAGCGTGGAATTTGGAGGTCTTAGAATCCATGGAGATGTGGTTACAGAGGAGAGTGTAGAAGAGTGGGAGTTTAGGAAAGTGACAGTGACCGAGGATTTGACAATGAACTATGGAAGAAGAAGATAAAGGATGATCTGAGGCATAGGAACACCCTCTTGTTTCTCACATGAGATGATTTCATCACCCTAGTAAAGAGTCAAGGAACTTTTAGCTTCTTCTGAAGAAGATGTCGAAGGAAGGGTTCAAGTGGGGAAGGAACAGACATATAAAATAGGGTAGGACACAACACAACACAGAGGTCGCATTCACACACTTTGCGATGTGGGGAACCTTGTATCCTAGATGTAAGTGGCACCCATATGGAACTAACTTTCTTATTCTCTTGCGGAACATCACAAGTAAAAATATTTTTAAATATCTACATAAATTTTTAATAATGTAGCACTGGTGTTTATTTTATTCTTTTTTAATCAAGATTCCTTTTTTTGTCCTCTAACTTGTGCTTTAAGATGCATTAACAGCTTTTGTTTTAATAATGAAGATTCTTAGGGAGATTTAGTTTTAATAAATAGTACAAAATTACTGAAATTTTAAGCCAGTACCACTGGAAATCAGGACGCGTGCTTAAAGTTGGTATTATACCATTTTTTTTATCTGTTTTAAAGTTAACAATGTTTGTTTTTTTTAAGGAACAAGTGATTTTATAATGTATATCAGATTATTTGTGTCGGCGGAACACACAAATTATTGTTGATTCTATATTTTGTAATATTAAGTAATTTTTAATATAGAATAAATAGAATTTGAGATTAATCTTTTTGCTAATCAATCATATATAAGATAGTTTATTTATAGTAAAAATATTACTAGAAGAGTAACTGAAAATAACAGACAATATTATTTGATATGATAATTAATAATATCTACCAATATCTTAATAATATCAAATAATATCTAAATAATATTTAACATAATGATTTATTAAGTTAATTCATCTTATCTTTATCTAATAAAAATTGCATCTTTAAACTTAGATTGAAATATGAGGACGGACTATTATATATATATATATATATATATATATATATATATATATATATATATATATATATATATATATATATATATCATAGTATGCGTTAAAATATAACAAGATATTTGGAGAAATGCAGTGCAGCATCGAAAATTTCATTGGATTAAAGAAAGACTAAAAGAGGATCTTTCTTCAATATGCTTTTCAAGGATTTTTTATTTTTTTTCAAACCCAAACGGAAGAAAAATTGAACCTTGAACCAATTTAATAAAGAAGGTCATATGATTGCTCAGTTGTAATACAAGGTGTGGAGTAATTTTTTTCTTTAAGATATAAAGGTAATCTTTGACTTTCTTTAATAAAACACGTATAAAATAATTTTCTTTTTGATTTTTTTTTCAATTATCTAGTAGCACTTCAATGATTTTATTTTAAACGATTTTAACTAATTAAATTTATTTTTTCTTTGACTACATGATTTTTGTACACATAATATGTACAAACATTACTTTAAAAAATAAGATTATCCTTTAAATTGTACTCGAATCTACGTAGATAAAAATATATTTTCTTAATTGAGATACATAAAAGATATTTTGAAGATTAAAAAGAAATATAATAAGCAATGAGACTTATTTTTCTGAAAATTTAATAAAAACTAATAAATTAGAGAGTGATTTTCTTCCATTTTATTACTTTACCAATTCCTATTGTAAGAATGACTTTTAAAGATATATTATCACATTTAAATTCAAGAGTTCATTTGTTTCATGTCTGCATAACTTTTCTGTCTACTTTAAGTTATTTTCTTTAATCATCTTGATTTTTTCCATCGTTTGCTATATCAAATTAAGACCTAAGATTAAATTTTTTTCAATCTCAAACCAGCATAAATATGTTCAACATTTTCTTTCATATAATGTCTCGTAGGGTGTCATACCTATGTTAGAATGAAAAATGTTGTTGTAAATGAATTCAATCATTAGCAAGTATTAATCCCAACTACCAAAATCATCTATTACACAAACTCTCAATAAATATTTCAAGGACTAGATGATCCTTTCTGACTATCCATCAGTTTGGAGATGATAAGTTGAACTAAGATATAATATTATATGGAAGTTCATGCAATCTCACAATTTCTTTTATATATAATTCAATTAGTTTATCAATGAATACCTAATGTTAATGGGTAAGAAGTAAGTAAACTTTGTTAATCTATCTATAATAATCCATATGGAATCAAATTTTTGAATTGTTTTGGATAAGTCAACTACAAAATCCATCAATATACTTTCCAATTTTCATTCAGGTATATCTAAATATTGTAATATCCATGATGAGTTTGGCTGTTATATATTATCTTTTTGACAAACTAAGCATGTTGATACATATTAGACTTATTTATTTCTTTATTTTGGGTCACCATAACATTTTATTAATATCTTGATACATTTTTTGTGCACCTGAATGTATGCTCAATTTGATATTATATGTTTCTTCTAAAATCAACTTCTTAACGTCTACATTATTAGACACACATATCCTACCATTAAATCTCAAAATTTTTATTTTATTTAACCCAAAATTTTCTCGATTCTTTTGTCCTATCAACTCTTTTTTCTTTTGAATGAATTTATCACTTATTTAAACCTCATGGATTTGTTTTTGTATACCACTGGTAATCTAAATTGAATTTAATTTCATCTGTTAGGGCTCAATATAATTGATAAATTCATATCTCTTAATTTTTCTAGCTAACTCATCTCACAAATCATCAATAAGGAGACATATAATGATTTTTTGTTTGAAGCGTATGCCATTACATTTATCTTTTCTTGGTGGTAATGTAATTCAAAATCATAATCTTTGAGAAATTTCATCCATTTTCTTTGTGTCATATTTAACTTCTTATGATCAAACAAGTATTTAAGACTCTTATGATCACTAAAAATCTTAAACTTACCACCATATATAAAATGTCTCCATATTTTTAGCGCAAAAATAATGACGACTAGTTCTAAATTATGGGTTGGATAATTTTTCTCATGTGTTCTTAGTTATTTATAAGCATATGCTACTACCTTCCTATCTAGGCATGGCAACAGGGTGGGGCAGGCGAGGCGGGGGCAGGTTTTGCCTCCTCAATCCCCGCGCTCGACTTATTTAACTACCACCGTCCCCGCCCCGATCCTCGTCGTGACGTTACATTTTTTTTTATTTATCATTATTATTATTATTATTTGTATAAGAGTAGGAGGTCAAAAAATATTACATATATGTAAAAGTAATTTACATCACTATATAAGATATACAAAAGAAGAAGGAATTTTATCTTTGATTCCTTCTATTTTCTTTTTCTACAATTTTACAAGTATCTACATTGGCGGTGGAAACAAACTGATTAAGGGGTTTTGAAAAAAAGTAGGAGGCATAAAAAAGGTAACTACTACTGGCCCATCTAACATAATAGAATTTCCCATATCAGATACAAATGTTATTATTGAAAATCCTATCCCTCTAAAAGTAACCGAGTTGTCTATAACATTCGTGTTCCAAGTAGTTCCTGGAAAGAAGGCAGTGATGCTTGCAGAAAAGGGATTTGGAATATTTGGCGCCTCCATCTACTTAAGTTGGTGTTTAAATAAAACATGCATAAAAGATCACAATAGGGAGTGAGAACATTTATCAATTACAATAATACAATCTTATAATATATAGATATATATATTTCAACTTTCTCAACACATTCTATTTTATGAAGATTTAAATTGTAGTGACTAGTCAGGATAAATGAGCTCAATTTTAATCATGCTCACAAGTGATATTTACTCATTTAAATCCCCAAGGTCCAACCTCCATCTACAATATCATTAAATCTTCACAAATAGATATTATTGTAATTGATTAATATAACTATAGACTAATAAATAGGATCATTGCATTACTAGAGATAAAATAAAGTAAACAAACAAGACCAGTACGTAACTGGAGATAATTAAAATAGGACCAGTGCATAACTGGAGATAATTAAAATAGGACCAGTGCATAACTGGAGATAAAATAAAATAGGACCAGTACATAACTGGAGATAAAGTAAAATAAACAAAAAGGACCAGTACATAACTGGAGATAAAGTAAAATAGGACCAGTACATAACTGGAGATAAAATAAAATAGGACCAGTACATAACTGGAGATAAAATAAAATAGGACCAGTGCATAACTGGAGATAAAATAAAATAGGACCATTACGTAGTTAGAGATAAATAAACAAATAACTAAATAAATAGAATGAGGTTAGGGACACCTCACTTCACAACTATAAGCAAAATAAAGTAGATTTAATGATAATATTCTCCTCCCCTACCTTAAGAGTTGCGGATGAGGTACTAAAATTTTTGGTTCTTTCTCTTCTTCCTTCTCTGTTTCTTTCTCTTTCTCTTTCTCTTTCTCTCTCCTCCTTTCTCTCTCTTCCTCTCTCTCCTTCTTTCTCTCTCTTCCTTTCTCTCTTTCCCTCTTTCTCTCTCTCCTTCTTTCTCTCTCTTCCCTTCTCTCTTTCTCTCTCTCCTTCTTTCTCTCTCTTCCCTTCTCTCTTTCTCCCTCCGCATCCTCCCCCTGCCCCTTTTTATAACCAAAATTTTTATTTATTTATTATTTTTTTTTATGAAATCATTAATGACGGATAAAACTTACCCATTAAGATAAGTTAATCTTATCTTTCAATTTATTATTATATATATATATATTTTTTTTTTTGAGATATTACATTTCCCTATACTTACGTAAATTTCGTCCTCAAAATTTTTTTAGCGATTAAAATAGATAGGGGTAACTTTCCCTGATTTTCTTTTCTAGTTCCCATGTAGCGTCTCCAGTAATTTCATTCCAAACAACCTTCACTAGTGGGATTTGTCTTCCCTCAGCTGCTTGATCTTCATATCTCGTAATCTGTACGTGCATTGTTTCAAATGTAAGGTTATCCTTTAATTGTACTC